ACCCCTCAGGGTCACCTCAACACCAGAGACCCCATCAGGAGGGACACTGGTGTCCCAGCTTGGGTCACACACAGAGCCCTGCTGTGGAACCCCAGGCTGCTCCTTTAGAGCCAGCAGCTTGCTGAGCTCACAGAGTCCAGCAGCAGGAGAGAGCTGAGCCCTGAGCCCTCATCCCTGTGCCTGTGCATGCAGAGGTGTGGGGTTGCACAGGTGAGGACCCTTCTTCCCCTAAAGCACCTGGGACACGCTGCCTGCTTGGATCTGGAGCCTTTTCTCAGGGCTGAGTGGCCCAGCAGGAGCCTGAAGCTCACAGAGTGGGACCATGGCTTCACCTCCCCTGTAAGGAGATGCAGGCAGGGATGTCTGTGACTGCTGAAACTCAAATACCCCTCAGGAACAGCAGGATGGCTGGGACTTGGATTTAAAAGGGAAAGTAATCCAATTATAATCCAATGGAAAATAATCCAGTTATCAGGAAATTGATAACATGTCTCTGATGGAGAGAGGGATGGAACAAATCCAGGGCAGGGATGCAGGGCCAAGCACTCCTGGGGTGTGAGGAAGGTGCAGGTCGGTATGGAGAGTTGTTTGCAGAGAGATCTCGACCCTCTTTCTGTGCTATACTGCTCTGAAAACCAGCCCCTTTCTTTTCTTCCCAAATCCAGGGTCTGAAAGTGAAACCATCATCCCAAGTGGTCTGACAGGAGCTGTGGGGAGCAGCCTTGGTCTCTCTGAGCTGTGTCCCAGGGCAGGCTGTGTCAAAGACAGCAAACCCTCATCACCTCACCCTTTGGGCTGCCATCAGAAAGCTCAGCACATCCCCCTGGACCTCCTGGAGATCATCTGGGTGTCACAGCAGTAGGAAAAAAGCAGGCAAATGGGTTAAATTTCTTCTTCCCCACAATCTCCAAGCGTTCATGACGGGACCTTTTGCCAGCATTGTGCAATGCTGGCTCAGGTTTTGCTTGAACTTTAGTCCTGCTTTAATGCATGCCACAGTAACCTCCAGGGAAAGGAATGTTGCTGATTCCTGACTAAAACTGTGATCAAAACTTCTCAGCTCCTTCCCAGGCCATTGTTGTGTGTCCTGTCAGCAGTGTCCCCAGGGCAAGGGCAGCTGTGTACCTGGATCAGGAGTGTTCCTTCAGCCCTGCAGAGTGATCCTGCAGATGCTTTGGAAAATCAGCATTGTCCCCATGGCTTCCAGCGCCCCAGAACAACAGTGAAGTCTCAGATGTTTGTTTGTTTGCTTGTTTTGGCAAGAGGAAAAAGGGCCAATGGAAGTTTAGGGAAGTGCATCATGCATCCTTCATCTGGCTCTGGGAATGCCACTCCCCACTTCCTTCCCTTATCAATTAATGAGGTGGTTAATGAGGGAAAGGACAGCAAAAATCACCAGCCAAGGATCAGGCATTACTGCTGGAGTCCTTCAGGGCCTGATTCCAGGGCCAGCCAGCTCCAGGAATGCTGAATTTTGGGAGGATCCCTGTACTAACCCAGCTCATCCAGGTGGGAGGTGCAAGAGCTGGTTTGGAGGATTCTTCCAGATAATTTGGCCCATGGCTCCATTCCCTCAAGGCAGGAGATGAAGGACAGTGAGCCCACAGGCACCAGACAGGCAGGAGTGGAAGCTTTTCACTCTTTTTTTTTTGGAAGATTGGGAGCAGGAGAGGAGAAAGCCAAGGGTTCACACGGGCAAGGAGGGTGCACATGTGCTGCCCAGATTTCAGCCATCCAGACCCCCTTCCAGGACAGAGCAGCCCTCCACCAGCCTTCCAAGGACACTTTTAGCTGGCAGTGATGACAAACTGCATGTGACAATCTGAGCTGGCTCTCTCCTGGAAGAGGCCTTTGCTGTCCCACCACTCCAGAACATTCTCCAGGGACATTTCCAGCCCTGACAGTTCTCCCAGGGTCTCTCAAGATTATCTGTTTCTCCTGAGCCCAGTTCCCTGCAGTCCAGTGAACATCCCAGCTGGAGATGGAGAATTTGACAGGAGGGAAAGTGATGCCAGGGTTGGAATCAGGCTCTGGTTGGGGTTTTCTCTCCCTTAGTCATTTGGGGTTCTTGTTCAAATCCAATTTATGAACATCATTGGGTCAAGCCAATCTCCGTGTGCTCATGGCAGTGAAGTTGGGTTTGCAAGGGGATGAGGAAGACAAATGCTGTATGAAGGACCTTAATTTACCTGCCAGGATAGCTCTGGGTGTGGATCCAGGATCCCTGCTCTGAGAGCAGCCCTGAGGGGTGAAAACATTTATTTCTCCATCTCCAAACCCACAATTTTAAAGCCCTTTTAAGGCATTTGCAGATGAGGCAAAGTCATTTAAATGATGCAGATTATCTAAAGACCCTTTCCAAACTTGCCTGCAGTTGGAGAAACCGTGATTTATATGGACTTGGATCCTACAGGAGTCCTTCAGAAGAGAGAAGAAGAGAAGAGAAGAGAAGAGAAGAGAAGAGAAGAGAAGAGAAGAGAAGAGAAGAGAAGAGAAGAGAAGAGAAGATCTAATAAACCCCCAAGGACTGAGTTTTGGTGGATTTACTCATTCAGATCCTGTGTTTGTGTGCTGCAGGTTAAACCAGGGTGTCCATGTTCTGCAGGCTTGCAGAAAAGTGGGAATTGAGCCTGGAGGAAAGAACCAACACAAATAAAAGCAGCAAACACACAATTCCTACAACCCCTCTGTGTATATCTGAATTAAAGCATGCATCCCCTCCTCCCTGGCCCAGGAAGGACCACACTGTGTCCCTTGTTTGTCACCCTCCAGAGCGTGGCACCACCGTCCTGCCCCAGGCTGGCCATGGCCATTGTGATCCACACAATGGGGATGGAGAGTGAATGGAAAATGAATGGAAAATGATCTCCTGTGTTGAGCTGACAAGCAGCTCTCTGTTCCCCAGGCAAGCTCCCAGCTCCTGGGTGAAGGGAGCTTTCCCACCCCAGGAAATCCCTGCTTTGATCTTCCCAGAGCTGCATTGCTGCTTCTTACAGCTCCTGGATTATTCAGTACTTTAACAAACAGAGAGGAGGAGGAAAATATTCTTTTAAAGCATTATTTACTGGTGGTTCTTGAGGAGTCTCCCACCAAATCTGCTTGTAGGAGCATGGCAAGGGAACAGAGAGGAGGAAGAGCCTTCTGGAACATCCAGGCTGCTGGATGATACCCACAAAGGACCTTTGTCTTTTCCCTAAACCATCTCAGCCACTTCTTAGAATGGTGAGGGCACAAATCCACCCAGGATTTGTAGAGGGCACAAATCCACCCAGGGTGTGCAGAGGACACTGGGGTTTAGCATTTTCCATGCCATGTTTTGCATGTTCCAGAACCAAGGAACCCCAGAATGGTTTGGGTTGGAAGGAACCTCAACATTCATTCCTACCAAGGGCAGGGACACCCTTCCCTAGACTAGTGTCTTGGTTTGAACAGACAGGTGTCTGCTAGGAAGGCAGGAGCCTCTCCTGAAATGGAAAATGTAAACCCCCTCCCTCTGAATTGTTATAATTTGGAAATTAAGAGGCTCTCAGGCAAAGATATGGGAGTAGGAGTAACAGTTCTTTATTAGGGAAGAAAAAATAAAATAAAATAAAAATGCAGTAATACAAAACAACCCTGCCAGAGTCAGACCATGCCCTGCCCCCTGTGTGTCAGGGGGTGTCCCAGCCCCATCCATGGGGGCTCAGCCCTCCTGCAGTGCCAGCTGTGGCTCTGCTGCAGCAGGGATCCTGCACAAGGGGGGAGTTTTCCTCTGCAGCTCCAAGGCTGCTGCAGATGGGCCTGGGCTCCCTCTGGCCATGCAGGGCAGCAGAAAGCTGCTCCTCTGGCAATGCAGGGGGCAAAGGCTGCTGGGGTGTCCCAAAGCTCAGATTGGATCCAGGTAGGAATGCTTGGCTCCTCCCCTGGGCGGAGCATCTCCCCATGGGATGCTGAGATTGGATCAGCCCTGCAGGGACACTCAGTGGCCATGGACAGAAGATAATTAATAATTAATGGCCCATGAACAGAAGATAATTGATAATTAATGGCCCATGAACAGCAGAGATTTCCTGGAGGGAGGATTGGCTGTGGGAGAGATAAAGAAACCTGCCCCATGAACAGCAGAGAACTGCCCCAGCTCTGACAGATGGGGATAGAATGCACACCCCAGACACATCTTCCAACCTGAGACAGTCAGGTATCTCCAAGCCCTGTCCAACCTGGCCTTGAACATTCCAGGAAATGGGATATTAGCTGAGTAATAAACGGGATTTGGTGACTGTACATGAACTATGTATGACCATAGGATGAGGTTTCTCTTAGCTGATGCCATCCCAGAATTGTTACAGATTACATCCCCTCCCTGCCCAGCCTGCAAGCCCTGTCTGCCTGCCTGTGATGCATCCCATGGTAACGTGGAACAGGGAGCAACTGTGGGAAAAGAGCTGTAAAGAAAATTATCTGGCCTGTTTCTCTGCAGAAGTGCCAGGAGGAAGGGGCTGGGATGAAGGAGATCTGAGCCTTCTTCCACAGGGCCCCTCCAAGGGTCTCATGGCCCCTCCAATTAAATTGCAGTTTGCACACTGGTGCAGTCTGGCTGACTGGGGGTGGCTCTGGTTTGGGGAAAGTGAAGGCAGGACAGGATTTTTGCACAACAACTTTATGTCAACTGCCAAGCCCATTTTCTCAAGTTTTCTATTTATTTTTTAACGTACTTTTGAGAGATGGCCAAACTTAAAAAACTTTAGCCCAAAAGGAATTGTATCCAAAGAATTTATGAGCAACTTAAAAAGAGAAGGCAGTGAGAAGAAACTGAAAGCCAGATGTAACTGCAGTTTTAGATGGCTTTTAGTTTAGTTTCAGACTTTTTTTAGGGGCTCTGACAGGGAACTGTTGGATTTTTGCAACGGGTCTGTAATCGGGTATTGAGGCAACTGTGAACTTTTGATCACTTATTTCTTGGTCTTCTGCCCACATCCAAAAGGGAATATCTGACCATCTCGTTGACCTCTTGCTTTTAGATGCTGAGATGAGGAAGAGAACAGCAGGAATCAGCAGAAATGCTGTGAAGACAAAGATTCAGGAGCTGTGAGACACCCCAAGCAGCACAGAGACCTGCTCTGCTTGGATGCACATCCCAGGGAAGGAGCTGCAAAGAAAGGAATTATTCCAATTAAACAGTCAGCAAGGCCTGGTGTGGTATTTACCTCATTACACTCACACCCTGAATGGAGTGGTCTGCGAGCAAAGCTTGGCTCTGCTGAGGGAGGATCTGCAGAGGGGTGAGCTGAGCAGGGAAGGTCCCTGCTCACAACAGGGACAAGTGGCTTTGGATGGGGACAAAACAACCCCCAGGAATTGGAGGGAGCTCCTGCAACACCAGCAAGAGCTCCTTCAGCAAGAACATCTTGGGTGGGTTAAGGGATGAGGCTGAGAGATGCTCAAGGCTCAGGATGTCCTCATTACAAAGAAGGGCTCAGATCTTCTTAAACTGGCATCATTTTTCAGGGAGAAATCAGTAACAGCACCACAACAGGATCCAAGGATTAAATAGAAATCTCAACTAAACTAGGACAGAGGAGACTTGCACTGCTTACATGGAAAATGATAAGGGATAATTAGGATAGGGCAAGGACAACGGCATCCTCTGCTGCTCCTTTTCCTCTTCTTTGAAGAAAGGCAGAAATCACAGAACCACAGGATGATTTGGGTTGAAAAGGACCTCAAAATCACCCAGCTCTCTGCCATGGCAGGGACACCTTCCACTGTCCCAGGTTGCTCCAAGCTCCACCCAACCTGCTCTTGGGCACTGCCAGGGATCCAGGGGCAGCCACAGCTTCTCTGGGCACCCTGTGCCAGGGCCTGCCCACCCTCACAGCCAGGAATTCCTTCCCAATATCTCATCTAACCCTGCCCTCTGGCAAAACCCATCAGTCCATGCTGACATGGTGCCCAAGCTGGGCAGAGCAGCATCCTCCTCCTCCTCCTCCTCCTCCCCCTGCCCTGTGCCCTGTCAGCAGCAGGGCCTGGTGCTCTCCAGTGTGTTCAGCTCTACTCTGTGTCCTGCCAGAGGCTGTTCTTAAGAAATGAGGCTCTGCCTTTTCATCATTCCTGCGAGCGTCTGTCTGATGTCATTCTGTCTGGCAAGCAAGCCATCAAAAAAAGGCTCCCCTGGGAGAAATTTCTCAAACAAACAGCCAGCAAAGAAAAAAAATAATAACCCACTAAACATCATAAAATGCAAAACCCCACAGCATCTTCCTGATAGACGTGAAGGCAGCCTAGCCCTGACTCCAAGCACAGAAAGGTGCGCAGGGCAGGGATGTGCTCTGTGCTTACCTGGCTGATTATCCTTAATTGAATTGAATATCCTTAATTGAATTGAATATCCTAAATTGAATTGAATATCCTTAACTGAAGCTGTTGCAGAGGCTGAGATCATGAGGTTCAAGCCCAGGAACAAATGTGGGCCAGCAACACCTGCTGCCATCATTCCCACCTGCAGAGCCTTCCTGTGTTCCACCAGCACAAGGGGACCTGCAGATCAAGCAGACTTAGCTCTTCATGATTTTTAACAGTTAGGTTGTTTTGCGATTTTTTTCCATTCTATGAGGCATTTGTGTGCCTGCAGAGCAAATCTTGGCTCTGCTCCTTCATATCCATTAATTCCTGCAGGTTGCAGGGTGACAAACACCCAGCTGTGAGCCCCTGGGATGTCTGCAGGCTTCTAGTTTTGGCAGCTCTGACCTTGATCCAGAGACCTGCTCCCTGAAATAGGTAGGACTGAAGGAAGTTCATGCAACCCCATGCAAAACTTCAGCCACCAGACTGGGGAAGGAGTCTCCAGTGAAAATAAGTCCCTTCTTTTCAAAACAAAGCCAACCAAACAGTGATTGATTCTGGATTTGGATAAAAAAGTTAGGAAGAATGGGGTTTAATCTTAGAATCGTGGAATCACAGAAGGGTGTGGGTTGGAAGGGAGCTTAAAGACCATCAAGTGCAGCCCCAGCCATGGGCAGGGACACCTCAATCCATGGGAGCAGTGCTGGAAGAGGGGCTGCCATGGAAGGGAGTGTGTTGCACTGATGAAAAGCCGCCCATTTGAGCTGGATCCCAGCTGGATAATCTTGGATCCATTCCTCACACATCTGTAGCTGTGATTCTCCTTTCCAAGCTGCTTCTCCTCGGAGCACTTCACAGAGGTCATTCCTCTTTGCAAGCCTCGTTCCCTCTTGCCTTGCAAACATCTCTGCCATTTTCTTCCCTCCTGCTGGGAGGTTTCAGGGCCTTCAGCAGAGCCCCTCTTCATTTTTCCAGGAGAAACCACCTGCTCCTCACTCAGCTTTCCTGGGAAACTTCCCACCAGCAGCTCCACTGTACAAAACAGGTCCATTTTCATCACCAGGACTCAGAGCTGAGAGTGGAATTTGCTCCTGCTGACAGCCCAAGGCTGGGACGAGCAACCCACAGCCCCAAAATGAGGTGTTGGTGGTTTCTTTGTGGTTTCACGGGGTCAGTGCTGCAAGGCTGAAATGAAATCCAGTGCTGGAGCTTCCCAAGGAGCAGGTCCAACAAATCTGGGAGAGGGCGATGAGAAGTTCATCCACCCTGATGAAATGCAGCAGGATTGTTCCCTGCTCCCTGCAGGACCTCAGCCTGGGGCTGCTGGGCTCTCATGGGTTTGGGCAGAGCAGCAATCCCAGTGCTCACATTCACTGCTTCCAGTTCTTCCCAGGGTGGGGAAACTTGTGGAAATTCCTAGGAAATGTCTCTTTTCTCCTGCTGCTTGAGGCCAGTTTCCTTCCTTGCTGACTGCAATAAAGCCAGTTAGAGCAGCACAGCCTCCCCAGCTCTCCCAGGGCAGTGTCCTGTGTTCTCTGACACCATTGACACCATCTCCTTCTTTTGCAGTAAGAGGGGAAACTGAGGCACAAATCTGCCCTTTCTAGGAGGAGACCTTCTCCAGACCTCTGCATGATCTGAAGAGATGGGGCAAACACCCCTGTTTGACTGCACTTCCATGCTTCAGCTTCCCCTCGAATAGAGATTTTCTCTGCTCTGGATCCTACTCAAATCTCCCTTTCCAGCTTGAAGTATTTTCTGGGGTCTCCATCATTGGAAGGAAAGATTCATCTGACTCCATGTTCTCAGAAGGCTAATTTATTATTTTATGATATTATATTATATTAAAGAATACAATACTAAAACTATACTAAAGAATAGAGAAAGGATACTTACAGAAGGTTAAAAAGATAATAATGAAAAACTCATGACTCGTTCCAGAGTCCTGCCACAGCCTGACCGTGATTGGTCATTAAGTCAAAACAATTCACATGAAACCAAGCAAACAATCACCTGTGGGTAAACAATCTCCAAACCACATTCCAAAGCAGCAAAACACAGGAGAAGCAAATCAGATAGTATTGTTTTCCTTTTTCTCTGAGGCTTCTCAGACTCCCAGGAGAAGAACCCTGGGCAAAGGGATTTTTCAGAAAATATGGTGGTGATACCAGCTCTCTTAGGTCTGATCGCCACTCTCAAGCCCCCAAAACCCCCCAAAAAAACCTCTTTTTGGGTCTCAGAGGGGCTGGTGCCTCTCACACCTGGCTTAGGTGGAGGTGTAAGGATTTCCAATCATCTCTTAATGATAGAAAAGCAGCTTTTGTTCCCTCTCTGCCTCAGTCTTGGCAGGGAAGGTGGAACGTGGGTCATGGAGATGTGCAGCCACCTCAGGCCAGCAGCTTTTGGGGCTGGGTTGGATAAAGGTGCAGGATTTCCAGCCAACCCCAACCAGGGGATTCACTGGAGCAGGGCTGCAGGGAATGGCTCACCTGGATAATGCTGCATTCATCGTGGGATGGATGGATGGATGGATGGATGGATGGATGGATGGA